GACGATATTATCATGATATGAAATTCTGTTGTTTGCTGCTCTTGTGAAGCACTTTGTCACATGGTTTTTTAATTCTCTATAAATAAGGATTTTATATTATGTCTAAATTATCACCAGTACCAGAGGAAGCACCTGACAATCAAATGTCCTGCAATGCAACACCTTAGACACTGGTAAACAAACAACATTTATAAAAAGAACACCTTCACAACACACACAGCTCAGAAGCTCCACATCATCAGTGAGGACCCGCCCACTCTGCTGTCAGTCACTTCAGCAGGAAGATCACAGCAGACAGAGTTGGGCAGGTGGTTGTGGTCTCAGCCTCCGTCCTCTACACTGTTTCATCTCTGTTCAGGAGGCTGCTTAGAAGGAGAAGCAGAGCAGCGCTCACAGAAACACATTCACACTGAAGAGATCAAACGTTTCTGACTCACCAGCTCACATGTACCGATGTGAGAGAGAGAACTCATTGTGGAAACAAAAAAAAATGCAAATAAAATAAACCTGCTAACTTGAACCAAAGACATGACTGTGAGGCAACATGAGAGACTACGACAGGAATATGTTAAATACAAAGGATGCCTTTGGTCGCAGCAACAATGACAAAATGACCAAGTTAACTTACTTGAAGAAATCCTGCGTGCAACAACGACACAACACATGACAGTATGCTAAAGTTCAGGCCAACAGCAGAAACTGAGGCATAAAAACAATAACAAAGTAGAGTGGAGGTTTCTGGAACAACTTTTCTAACTTGCAAGAAGAGAAGACTTGTGATGGTTTAACTACACCAACATTTGTCAGAATGGAACATTTTGGTTTGTGGCCTTCTTCATGGTCCACATGTTGTTTTTGGTGTTTGTTACTTTAAAAAATCCTTCTCAGCCGTATTACAAACAACACAGAAAGACTAACTCTAGTTTTACACTGAATGCACAAAGAGCCTATTTTGTGTGAGGCAGTGTGCAAAATGGAGGACAGCACATACTTTTACTAAGCAGCAAAGACAATCTACTGGTGGCTCAAGCCAAAGATCATCAAATTATCAAAAATTATCATCCAGGAGGCATGAATGTCTGTACAAACTACCTCTACTGTCTCTGCTGAGGCTGGTGGCAGTGGAAAGCAGATGGAGGACAGTTGCTGCTGTTGACAATGTGTCTCTGTGCTGCTGCTGCCAAGTTCAAAGTGGTGTAAACCACAGA